TCCACCCTGGAAAAGTTCTACCTCTTCAATGCCCCAACCCCCCCGCCCAAATACATCTTCCTAGTTGTTAGTCTGGTGACCTGTCAGCACACCCTGAGCTCTGCTGCTTCCTTGGCCCCGCCCATCTCTCTGCTGACCTACAACTTCCCTGGCCCGTTCTCCTGTTCATTATCTATGTTGGACCCTGTCAATTCCTTGGCAAAGTAGCACCTTGGGAGGGTAGCCATCCAGTGGGTGCCAAAACACCCAGAATAAGACTGTGTCTGGTGAGTTATCTACTGACCCCAGGTCCCTAGATGCCCCCTGTGGCCACCCTCCCCAGACAGCTCCCACTTCTTCCCATTCCTGTCCCCGCCTGAGGCCCCTGGGCCTCCCAGCCACCCTATGTGCACAACATCCTTCCCACTCTGCCCCAAGCCCATCTCTCCCTCCTGCCCTCCTGTCCTTGTAACCACCTTGCTCAGCCAGGATGCTGCCCCCATGGGGTCTGATGGCACTGGAGCTGATGATGGAGGATTAGTGGCTGGTACCCTGAGGTTCCTGTGGCCATAAGACCTCTAGCAGCAGCTCCCAAGGAAAGCAGTAGTGGCACCAGGGGAGGGGCAGCAAGGAAGTGACCATGAGTGACAGCGACAATGACGGCGATGCTCTGGAGGCACAGAGAAGAGCCTGACTTGAGTTCAGGGCAGCCCAGGCTGAGGCAGGAAGGACCCTGACCAGACTGAAGCAAGAAGGAACAGCAGAGGTCCCAGAAGGGAGATGAGCAGGTGGGCTGGGCTGTAACATGTGTTGTTTTGCCACTGCTTCAATACTGAGGATATTTATAAAATTATTTTGCTGAGCAAAGAGATAAATCCAACCTTACATTCCCATGGCAATGCCTCCCAGGCCGCTTTCAGGGAGTGAGCTGGTCAGTCTCAGCCTCGGGATTTGGGGATTTTACAGAGAATTCACTCTCGGGGTCCAGCTGCCTCCAGGCTGTGCTGAGGTCTCCAGCAGGGGGCTTGTGCAGCCCAAATGAGGAATGTGCAGCTGGAAGCCCTGAGCCCCATCCTGCTCAGCTTTCCTGGAGAGCACCGTCTGCGGACGTGAATCCCGATGAGGTCACGGAACAGCCGGGCAGCCCGCGCCTCTCTCCAGGACCTGGCATGCAGCGTACACAAGCCGCGTCTCCCTGCCAGGCCCATGCACCCTCCCAGGAGGCCAGCCAAACTTGCAATCTGCCAGCCAGGGATGGCTCTCCCACCACCCAGCAGAGGAGGGCAGCCCAGCCCCAGGCCGCAGGGGGGGCATGGCACAAAAAGGCAGCAAGCTCAGAAGCAGCCCGCAGCAGGCAGTGCCTATGCCTTGGCAGTTGCAGCTCCAGCACCACTTGGCCACGGCAGCAATGTTCTGCTAAGCATGTTTCCCAAAAGCATCAGGTGTCTGAGGGGCTGAGCTCCATAGCCCAGACAGCTGTTATGAGCACAGAGCTGTGACACCAGGAGCCCCCTCTCCTGGCGGGTCTCCCCCGCAGAGACCCTCCATGTCACATAACTGGGGGTCCTGCTTCCTGTTCTGACTTCCTCATGGCCTTCAACATGCTGGCTTTGTGTAGTTTGACTTCCAGGGGCTGGAAGTGGCTGTCTTCTGAATCTGCCCACACGAGGTAGAAATTCACTAGAGAAAGGAACAGGCCTTCCAGCAGAATGGGAGCAAGGCGCGCACAGGCCGCCATGGGAAAACCCTGCTCTCCCCTCATGTCCACCCAGCAGGCAACCAACGGGACAGGTGAGGCCATGGCAGAGGACAGGTGGCAGAGCGGGTGCGCAAGGAGCTCTGACCAGGGATGAGGGATTGCTCAGAAGGATGTCCATAACCCGAAAGAGCTTGCTTCAGCAATTCCAAGCCAGGAGATGTCGTAAGCAGGTCAACACAAGGAGCACCCACCACACAGAGGGGACACTGCTGCCCATCAGCATGGGCCAAAGAGGCTTCTCCATGTTGCTTGGGGAAGGCAGAAAAGGGAGCCGTGAAGGCCAGGAGAATGTCCTCATGAGGGAACAGGGTGGGTGTGGCCTTGGACAGCTCTGTTGCCAAAAGCAGCAAGAAACTGTGACCATCTCTTAAGTCTCATCTCAGTCCCTAGTATTCCTGGTGCCTGGGAACCTGGGTCCCACTGTGACTTAGCCCACTTGGTTGATCACGGAGGAAAGACACTCTTGTTGCCCAGGAAACCACTTTAGATGCTTCTTACAAAGCTGTGAAAACAATGCCTCCCACGGGCCAGTTCTTGATCTAGAGGCATGGATGACAAGCTGCTCACTGAACCAGCCCCAAACCACTCCTTGCTCGTACCCCCCATCCAGGGGCCTGTTCCTGATGACTATAAGCTGCCCCCAGAAGCGGGGACGGTCCTCCTCGCCATGTTTGGACACTTCTCTGTGCAGCCAGTACATCAAGTCCTTTATAGGGCCAGTGCCAGCCCACACCAATAGCTTCCCTTGTGCTGGGCCTTGCACCGGGCTGGAGCAGTAGTGGTCAATAGAAATGATGGGCAATTATTGCAGTACCAGAGCGATTCATTCTCGTTCTCGTAATTACACATGTAATCCCAGCTACATGTGAGGCTGAGGCAGGAGGATTGTACATTAAAGGCTAGTCTGGGCAACTTAGAGAGGTGCTATCTCAAAATAAAATTATCTAAAAGTCTGCACAGGGTGTGGTTCAGTGGAGAGCTCCTGCCCTACTATGCACAAAGCCCTGGGTTCAATCCTCAGTACTATGAATGAATGAATGCCCACAGGGGGCCAAAGAGGCTGCTGGCCAGGCAAGACAGCTGGGCAGGGACCATGGCATGCTGGTGGCACCTTCCAGAGGCACTTGCCACTCAGTCCAGCTGATTGTAGCCACTGAGGGATAAGGCCAGAGTGGCAAAATACCAGAATCTAAAGAAATATAGGAGACCTACAGTAGATTTTTATGTGAAATTTCCTGATGTTAAAGTATCGACAACTGATTCAAACAGTTAAAAAGAAAAAAGTGCTGTGCAAGCTGATACACATTTGCCTCTGGGCCAGATTTGGCCAGTGGGCACCAGCTTCCTCCCAACAGATGTAAAGCTGCCCGAAATGTTTGCAGTTCCACCCACCCCTACGCTCCCCATGAAGGGCGGCCCGCAGGGCTGCCTCGGTCATTCAGGCGAGCACAGTGATTAAAACTGAGAAGAGACAGGGCCCCCACCACAGTCAGTACCCCAGAGCCACAGTCCATCCTGACCCCACAGACACAGCTGCTTCAGGTGGTAGCTAGGGCTGGACATCTGAGGTGAGCACTCTGGGTTGGTCAAGGACACTGGTCATGGGCTGCAGAGGATGGAGCCATGTTGAGGGGCATCCCAGGGTGAGGCTGCTGGGTCCCGAGAACCAGGTTCTACAAGGCTGTGGAGGGAGGAGCACGCTTCTCGAGACCTAGCCTGGGTGATGGACGCCCTTCCCATCACATTCCATCAACCCATCCCAGGTTCAAGGCAGGGGACCTGATTCTGTTTTCCCATGGGAAACACAGCCAGGAACTGTGGCCATCTTGAATGTTTTGGGGTTTGGGGAGACTCACTCAATCCTTATTTCTGGACTGGAAGACATTAGCACTCTAGACATCCAGATTAGTGCCCCACCCAGGCTATGTTCACTGTTGTGTGAGAGAACCAGAACACAGAAGACTTTGGCAGCTTTGGGGGGTAGGAGGCACCTCAGGGCCAGAGGCCAGGGGGCAAAGAACCCAACACCCGAGCTCACGCAGGGGTCAGTGGAGCCTCCACATGCTTTTCAGTGAATAATCACCTGGGCTGCTGTGCCCCATGGCGACCAGGGAGAGCAAGCAACTTTCTACAGCGTCATTGCTAACATGGCCATGCTTACCCGCTGGGTCCCCTCCACACTGGAAGAATGAGACAAGGGCCCTGAGATGGCCACCTGGACCCTCTGAAACAAGCCATGGAGAAGTCCCACATGCAGTCACCTCTCTTGCCCCTTGGGGCCATTACAGCCTGGCTGCCACCTGCATAAGCCGCTGCGATCCCAGCTGGGTGCAGAGAGACCTGGACTCACTCCCCGTCACCTCTGCAACCAGAGGCTGCCCTCAAGGCCACCAGAGCCATAATTTCCTCTGCCTGTGGTTTCATTCTTTCCTCCTCTTTTCTTTTTAAAGAAATGTTATAGTCAAATGGGTCTCCCACCCTAAGCAACCGAGGACGGTGGGAGGATGACTCCTGCAGCTCAGTTCCCAGGTTCCTTCCCTGTCCCCGAAGCACCTGGCTCCCATCCCAGAGAGGCTCAAGGTGGCCATTACAGGAGGCAGCCCCATGTGTCCCAAGGACTTGGACAACAGCGAGAATGACCCCTGAAGTTCAGGTGGAGAAGTCCTCTGCCACCTTCTTTATTTTTTTTTTTCTTTTTGGTTTTTCTCCGGTACCAGGAACCGAACTCACGACCTTGCACTTGCCAGGCAGGCGCTTTTGCCGCTGAGCTAAATCCCCAGCCCACTGCCACCTTCTTTAACTAAGCCTTTCCTCCTGAGGTCACTCTCCATTCATGTGCAATTGTGGGAAACAATGTGGCAACATGAGATGCACTCTAAACGCATGAAGACACTCCTCACCCCAGGGAACACAGGGAAACTGGGCTCACAGCACATACTCCAGCCAGCTCTGGGGCCTGGAACACTCTGCCCACTTGGCTCCAGCCCATCTCATTATACTGTGTGTGTGCGGGGGAGGCACATATACAGGCCTGTGTGTCTACCATCGTCAAGAACAGACCTTTTCAATCCAAGAAAGAGTGAATGTGGCAATGGTAGGTGCGAGAGGGCACCATTCCCTATGTCCTGCATCGACATTCATGTGGGGTCAGAGTAGGTGAGATTGTGGTGCTGCAAAAGAAGTGCAGAGAGAACCACCCCTCCAGGAGCACATTCATGCCAGGCACTGCAACCCGGGCGCTGTGGACCTGTGCAGGACTCACCTCTGTGATGATGTAGAAGTCGTCCCCGGGCTCCCCCTGAACCACGATTTTCTCTCCGTCTTCAAACTGCACGGGCTCCAGGGCATCAGCCACAGTCAGCCGCTCCCACTTCTCCAGGGACTCTGTGGGGAGGAAAGAATCCACTGGGCTCAACACTACAGGAAAATACAGTCAGCTGCCCGGCCCAGAGGTACATCAGGCGACCAAGGCGTAAAGCAGAAAGCAGAGAAGCCTCGGAGAGCCAGCCCCATCACTTTGGTGCCTGTCTGGATGCCTCATGGTTGGATGGAGCCAGGATAAGCAGGAGACTCAGTGAAAAAGATCATCCTGTTGCTGATCACCATGTAAACAAGAGGCACTGAATACCAAGTCGAAGCTAACCTAGCACGAAACTACTTTTATTTACCTCTAGAACAGAACTGCCTATAATTTTGTAGACAATGGGGCCACAGCTGCTCTTCAGTTACTGTGTGGTTTAGAATAACTCACAGTGGTTGAAGCAAATACCTGCTCGAAAGCGACTCTGTCCAATGCGTGCTGATGGAGACCAAGGCACTGCCATGATAACAGCAGGAAGCGGGGTAATTCCTTCTACAATTTTAGGCCAAAATGCTCAATTCTGACGTCAAGTTTGTCTTCAAATGCCTGCAAACAATCTCTCCACCCTTCTCACACCTTCCCTCCCCTGTCATTACCCTCATGGAGGAAGAAAAAAATAATAACGAGTGAATGGTGATCACCTGATCAACCTTTTTCGTTTTTGCAAAGTAACTCCTTCTGGCATATATCTAGATGCTACCTAAGTAGGTTAGCTGCTAAAAATTTTTAAAAAGCATTTATTTTAGATCTAGGCTCGCAGGGGATTTCTCTCCCTACAACCTCCTGCCAATGCCACATATCCCAAAGGACGCCTCCCACTAACCGCAGGGTCATAGCAGTTCTACTGCACCGTATATGCAATGAAGCTGCTTCAATGCTGGTTGTATGAGCAGCTTTCTTAAAAAGGTCTGTGCTGGCCAGAAGCTGTTCAAGGTACCAGTCTGGTGTCATAGGCCTGTCATTCCAACTGCTTGGGAGATAAAGACAGGACGGCAAGTTTGAGGCCAGACTAGGTAACTTAGCAAGACCGTAACTCAGAATGTTGCTGGGCATAGTGGTGCATGCCTGTAATCCCAGCATTCAGGAGGCTGAGGTAGGAGGATCGTTGCGAGCCTGGGCTACAGAGTGAGCACAAGGCCAGCCTGAACTGCATAGCAAGACCCTGTCTCAAAAGACAAAAAAAAGTGTTAAAAAGCTGGGGGTGTAGCTCTGCGCTTCGAGTGCTTGCCTATCATGTGTAAGGCCCTGGGTTCCATCAATAGTACTGCAAAAAAAAAGCAGCAGTTGCTTGGTTATTTGGAGACTGGAGTGTTGCACATACACACATGAGCCAGCATGCCAACAGAACGTAGCCATTCTGGAACAAAATTGTATTTGTGTTCAGAAGGAAGGGGTGCAGAAGTGGGCTGGCCTGTGCACGTGGAGTGCCTGGAGTATCTGTTTATTCATGAGGACCAGGGTGAGATGTGTCTGATTTTTAGAAGTCGGTCTGTAGTTTGTTTGGGTTTTTTTTTTTGGTTTTTCTCCGGTACTGGGAATCGAACTCAAAACCTTGCATTTGCCAGGCAGGCGCTGCGCCACTGAGCTAAATCCCCAGCCCCAGTCGGTCTGTAGTTTGGACATTCACCTCCACATATGTGGTTGGCTGAGTTTTCCCATGACATTTGAAACCTGCAACATTCAAAAGTCTGAAGAACCAAGATCCGAAGGAGCTTTTATCTCTCAACAACATAAATCTTGGGTGGAAACTGGTAGAAGGTATAAGGGAGATGGCAACTTTTTGCCTCCAGTTTTTGCAATATCTCAGGCTCTTGAGGCAATTTGTGAAACAGAAAGCATTTTTTTTTTTAACTTTCAGTTTTCGGATCGTGTACCTCAGAATATAGGATGCTCGCAGTGAATTCCAGCAGGAGAACGCCGTGACCTGGGCTGCCCTGAGTTCTGCCTTTACTGGACCCACCCCAGCAGGCTTGGGTTCCAATACTGATGACGGAACTTGTGTAGGAAAACCTGTACCAAGCGTCCAGAAGGGCAGCACATGGATATCAGTGGCCCCAGTGTGAGACTGGGCCGCAGAGACCCACAGTGTGAGCCCTACATGAAACTCGGCTCACACCTCCTGCGCCAGCTGTGTGGAGCCGAGGAGGAAGCAGAACTGCAGGGCACAGAATGTGCACTTACCATCCCCAGGTGAGCGGGAAAGGCCCACGCCCCCCAACTGCTCATGGGCGTCCCGAGCCCATCACACTGTTCCAAGAACTTATTGGAGGACTTCGTGAGGCTTGTGGTGACAGAGAGGGAAAAGAATGAAGAGTTTTGTTGCTATTTGCCCAGGAAGGCTGTGGAAAAGCCAGCTGCATTGGGTGGCTTTGCATTAATCATAGGGAAACAAAACGGCAAACAGAAGCCAGGTAGGGCTGTGACTTTAATGAAGGCCCAAGGTGGTTGGAGGAGAAAACCAGTGCCAACCAGGCCACGGGTCCCAAGCTGAGCTTCTAGGTGGTCAGCAGCCTCCCCAGGGTGAGCAGAAGGCCCCCCTTTATTTGTCTGGAGGCCACACTAAAGAAAGAAGCAGCAGGGTGACAACTCTCCCCAACCTGCTGGGCATGGGTGGCCCCACACCTATCCAGCATCTGGGGCAAGCAGACTGGAAGGTAAAGGTGGGCAAAGGTTCCAGGCTTAGGGTTTGGCATAAGAATAAAACGTCCTTCATTCAGTAGCCAACTTAGGAGGGAGGGAAGATGGCTTCTGCTCAGGGTGATGACAGCGCCTGAGCCAGATGTGGGATGTCGCACAAAGCCAAGTGTGTGTACTTCCTGGACCACTCTCCTTAAAGGGACCAAGTGGTCTGTTTTATGTTATGGTTGTTATGAAAGGATTCAAAGAGGATGCAGGCTCCGGGTAAGTCTTCCCCAAAAAGTGGACAGGCACCGTCACACCGCATACACACACACACATACACACATATACATGTAAGCGTGCAGTGCTCAGGCCAGGCACACAGCCCAGAGGACTTCGTCTCTCCCTCCAGCCGTGTCATGTTCCAAATGGTTCAGCAGGGCTGGGGATATAACTCAGTGGTACAATGCCTGCCTGGCAAGCGTGAGGTTATAAGTTTGATTTCTGGTACCCCCAAAAAAAGACAAAATGGTTCAGCAGTAGGTTCCCTCAAGACTACTGAGCACGCTCAGAGCCGGGGTGCACCTGTTAACCCTGCAGCCTTTGATAACCCAGGAACACTGCCATCGGGTGACATTGGGAGGGCAGGGTGTGTGTACACGCGCACACGTGTGCACACGCATGCATGCACATGCATACACGGGCATAACACCAGACACATGCCACTTGCCAGCCACACGGGGAAAAGGGAAGGTGTCTGGGCTGGCCGCAGATGCTCAGAGGAGGCCGAGAGGCCCTAGGGACATGCAGAGCCACTGACCAAGGATGGAGACCTTGCTGAGGAACTCCTCGTACATCTTGCGTTTTCTCAGCGTGCTGCCCTGTTTGGGAGAAAGGGAAAACAGAGAAGGTGGGTCTGCAAGCCCGCATGGTTCTGATATTTCCAGATTTCTCATGCATCTTCACAGGAGGCCCACAAATTCCAGCACCAACCCTCTCCCTCCTCCTGGGGCTTCCAGGGCACGCCAGCCTCTGAGGGGACCTGATGTGGCCCACCTCTTGGGGTCCACCCCAAGCAAGAGCACCCTGAACAACCAGGTGGGCACTAAGAAAATGACAGTTTGAAATTTCCAAAGCCAGGAGGTCCCAGAAGCACCAATGGCACCCACTCTGCTGCCTACCAGGCTCAGGAGCAGGGCCTCCTGCCAACAGTCAGTACTATAGGATCCCATCCTTGTAGAAACATCCACATGAGCAGTGGTGACAGGGCAGCATGGAATCCCAGGTCTCAGACTGCCCTGGGCAGGGGGTCCTGAAGACCTCAGTGCATCCTCTACCTTAGTCTGCATTCCCTAGCTCCACACGTGGGCCCAGGTAAGGTTCAGGTGAACTGAGGGTCCAAAGCTTAAGAAAGAAAAAGAAATTGGGTATGGCCTGTAACCCTGGCACTCTGAGAGGCTGAGATAGGAGGATCACAAGTTAGAGCCCAGCCTACACAACTTAGCAACTTAGTGAGGCCTTGTCTCAAAATAATCATTGACAAAAGGCTGAGATGGGCTGGGAATATAGCTCAGCAGCACAAGCACCTGCCTGGCAAGCGCAAGGTCCTGAGTTCGATTCCCAGCACCAAAAAAACCAACAGGCTGGGATAATCATTTAAAAAGTCATCATTAAAAAATCAATAGCAATTATTATTAAATAATATTTAATGTCTAATGATATTAAAAATAATCAATAATCATTAAAAAATAGCTCAGAGCCAAGGCCCTGGGTTTGAGCCCTAGGACTGAGAAGCAGAGAAAGGAATGGAGGAAAGTGAAGATGGAGGGATGAAGAGAGGGAGGAGGGGAAGGAAAGATAAATTCTGAAGCACGCTGGGGCCCCGCTGGCATCTGCATGGGAACCTGCAGTACAGGTGGGGTCAAGCCCAGCACTATCCAGCCCTGGGCTCTACTCTTCCCTCAATAAAACATGGAGCCTGGGCAGGGAAGTGACAGGCATTTAAGAAGCTTCCAGATCAAACCTGGGATTCCAACAGCCTGAATGTGGGATGTGTCTGAGCTGACATTCTTGGACTGTCTATCGTCCCCCTCATCTCCTGTGTCACCCACGGCGCATCCAGCTTAGTACTAAGTGGACCCAGGGCGGGGACACTCAACGCAGTATGGCCACATCCAAATCCGCTCAGATGAGGACGGATGCAAACGCACCCGCAAGGCGCTCCCGCCACCGGAATCCGCCAGCACTGTCATTTTCTTTCCCGAGTCACATGAGCCCTGTGGACTTCCAAGCCGGCCAGAACTATTCTTAGCGCACAAGGATCTGGAATTAGCACAGAGGAAGTGCCGGCTCCCAGCGTGGTTTGAGAACTTCCCTGAATATAAGGTTCCAGCCACCAAGTTCCACAGCCAGGATGACACAGCACAGAGGAAGCAGAGACCGTGCCAGGTGCACCCAGAGGGCACAGGAACTGTGCATCCTCTTGCACAGGATGGCAGATGTCCAGCAGGCAGGGACCCTACCAGGTCCACCCCCCAACCCTGTAGGGCCCTGTCGATCTGCTCTGAGCCCTGGCAAGGAACTTGTGCAACTTGGGGCTGATGAAATAGCTGTCCTGACTCTGCTGGTACTGCCTGCAATGAAACAGAGCCAGTCACTGGACTGGGACCAGGACAGCGCAGCAATACTCCAGCAACTCTGGCCCCAGGGCCTTTGCACTCGCTGTACTGAGGCCAACACTCCCGACAGCCTTTTTGCCCCAGCTTCCTGCCTTGAGGCCTCTGCACCAGTGTCACCTAGAAGAGAATTCTCCAGCCCTCCTTATTAGAGAGTCACCCCACCTCAGTGCATCCCCTCGCCCAGGAGGCCAACCCTGTACCAGGCCCCAGAACAGCCCCTGGCAGACAGCATGAGTGGGGAGAGGGTGAGTGATCTCCTCCCCCAGGAAGGGTCTTTTCCTACATGGGCCACCTACACACACCTGCACGGCCCAATCACACACATGTGCATACACACACAGTGTATCTCCTGAGAGATCTGAATGCATGTAAGAGCAAATCTAAAATGTTAGTGGCTTAACAACCCTCGTGATCCTCATGTGAAGGAAGTCTGGGAACAAGGAGTCCAGCCCAGCATAACTGTCCCACCAGCTCAGCAGAAAGTCCTTCCTCTTACTAGGAAGATTGGTTTCATTCTCAAAGTCACCTCGTAGCCCAAGATGGCAGCTGGAGCTCCAGCCATTAAAAACAGGTTCTGGACATCCAGTAAAAGAAAAAGGAAGGAAGCAAAACATACTTCCCCAACCACCTCCCTACCTTCTAAGAAGCTTTCCAGAACCACCCCTCCTCTTTTGATCATCTCACAGGGTTTATCTGTCAAGGACCTGGCTGGGAGATGTCTCCTCTCCCCTGTGGGATGTGTGCCCAAGAATGGGCATCAGGCACAGCCCCTGCACACCCCCCACCACTACCCCTGCCTGATGGAGCCTCCTCTACCAGGGTGCTGCTCACCATCAGGATGCGTCGGTAGCTGTCACGGTCGATGCCCCAGAGCTTGAGGTCGGTCTTGGCCTTCACAGTGGCAGCCCTGGGCGTGCCGTAGATGAGCGCCAGCTCCCCGAAGCTGCCCCCCTCGCTGATGCTGGTCACCCACTCTCCATTCACGTACACCTTGAGGGGACACAAGACGCAGACGTCAGGGCACAGCCTCAGGCTGGCCGATCTCCAGGGGCCCCACAGGTCTCCCAGATCCCGTTGGGAAGCTGCAGTCCTGCCCTACAGAGCTCCACACAACATCCCAGGACCTGCTCAGCCCCCTGAGGACAGGCCAGGACCAGAGACAGGGCAGTGTATGCCTGGGCTGCGGCCAGGAACATGTCCCACACCACCCCCCGCCCCCAAGTGGGTGCTGGATTCAATTCCCTAGCAACTCTCTGGGCCTCAGTTTCTTGGGCTGCACACCAGTGAGTCGGGGCCTCCACTACATGTGCTGATTCCGGGTGAACACTCAGCCCTTGCTTTTCCCCCTTGTGAGCTGCCCCTTCCTGCCCTGCTACTGGGTGACCACTCCCAGAGCCTGTCTCCTCCCCATCTCTGAGGACCCGAAGGCAGCCACACGCGGTCAGAGGTGAGTCCCTAGCCCGGGCCTTTCCACCCGGGAGCAGCGCCCAGGCCCCTGGCTGGAGCCTGAAAGGAGCCATTGGCACCGCGGTAGGCGAGCTTTCTGGAGAGCAGCCGGACAAGATTCCCTTTCAGCCACACAGCACTGCACCCCGCACGGCGTGCCTGTGCCCGGCCCGTGCGCAGCCCACACCCAGGCGAGAATGGTGCAGATTGTTCATTATGTAGTGATTATGCAGATTCAGTTACTATAAATTGACACAATGCTTGCTTTATCCCCACATCGGTCAATGAGCGCACAGATCGGTTCCCATTGGCAAAATGGGTGCGCAGGGGAAGAATGGATTGTGATGAATCATGGAAGCGATTCTTACTGAAATCAATGACTCATTATCTGATCATAACTGAGGCACAGAATTTCCCATCTGAAAGAAAACGCCCGCAGGTGACGGGTAAATCCATAACCACGGATGAGCAAGGCTGGGGACCACAGCAGGTTGCAGGCAGGGCCCCACCTGGCAGAGTTTGGAGTCCCTCCTCTCCAGGCAGGTCTGCGTGAGGGAACCTGGCCACACGGGGTGCGAGTGTGGCTGCCCCTCCACAAATCTCCAGGAATCTAAGACAGCATCCCTTCAAGGCCCCAGGAAGCATGCCTAGCCAAGCAGGAAGATGCACAGAGGGAGGGTCAGCAAGCCCAAAGTTTTAGGAAGGAATTTACCGGATCTCAAACAGCACCACTAGGACTTCTGTCTCTTTTAATTTCCAAAGGGGACCTGAAGCTTAGGGTGGGCACAGCCAGGCCTCCCATGTGTGAGCCGGCTCTCTACTCTGCCTACATTTCTGAGAGTACAACCCAAGCAGGAGGTTTAACAAGTCCTCATATACCCAGAAACGCTGTCCCCCAGGCCCTGGGTCCCTCAGTGCAGGTTTTGTGCCTCAAGGTACAGCACAGGGCTGTCCTGAGCCACATGCCTAGAGTGGCATCTGCCCACCACCTATTGGCTGGGTGCAGGGGGTTCAACGCACAGCCCCTCTGCACCCAGCACCATCCCAGCCCAGCTGCGTGGAAAGCAGCAAGGGCGCAGACCTGCTCAGGCCGCAGGGTCTGCTCCACACAGAGCTGGGTGGCAGCTTCTAGGGCACAAGGGAGCCCTTCCAGAGGTTACTCTGGGCAGGAGCAGGACACCCCGCCACCTGCCAGAGACAGGAACAAAAGAATGTGTTCTGGCCCAACCCATGCCAGCTGCACTCCGAGCTTTCTTGGGTCATCTATGAAGACAGAGTGCGGTGATGACCAACAGGCATAGACCCTCTGCCCACAAGGACCCTTGCCCCGTTGACAGGCCCCGGCCTCCTAGCACTACCCTGGGTGTCAGAGAAAAGCATTGTGTGGACGGGCCCAGGGCCACCCCCAAGGACAAAGGGGCCATCCTTCTCAGGACACTGGCTTCTGTCACAGCTCCCTAGCAGGGCAAAGAGTGGGCCCCACCCAGCTGGCACGCAAAGGGGCTGCTCTTGTCTTATTTCATTTTTTGTTTTTTCTTCTTTTAAAAGAAAGATGGGGGGGTGGTGGGCAGCACTGTGTCCCTCGAGGCCGCTCTGTACTCCCTCCTTCCTCCCCATTCCTTCCTTCCTTCCGTCCTTCCCTTACCCTCTGCAGGGGGTGACAGATTCCCAGCCACGGGAACTGTTCGACTAGCTGGGGACCCCCTGCTGAGGTCGCCCTGGGTCCCAGGCAGACCTGGCAGTGGGAGACCCATGCATTTCAAGTCACCCGGCTCCATCCGTAGCAAAGCCACATAGGCGGACAGCTGTGGGTACATGCAGGCGAGAACTGGGTGACTACCCAGTCTCCTACCCAACCAAGGCAAAGGGACGATATGTGGCTTCAAGGCCCAGCTAGGGCAGCATGGCCAGCATCAGTGGTCCTGATCCTCCTGCCTCCTGGCCCCAAGGGGCACAACAAGGTACCTACGTCCAGGTGGCTCAGCTTCCCCACTCCCAGGTCCACACTTCCCCCAACCCTCCTTAGCCCTCACTGCCAAGGGACTGGTTTCAAGTGACTTTATTGGTGGCATAGTCCCCTTCCTTGGGGAGGGGGGGGACAGGCCATGTGGAACGGCCACAGGATCCCTTATTATACACGTGGCCATGCAAACACTGGAATACTATTCAGCCTCAAACCAAAAGATGTTCACGCCTTGCACTATGGGTGGACCTCAGGGACGCAATGCTGGTGAGATAAACCAGACACAAGAGGACAAACATTGTGCAACTCCACATCTATAAGGTTCCCGGAGGAGCCAGTTTAGTGGGGACAGAAAGCAGGACGGTGATACCCGGAGCTGGGAAGGGGACAGGCGTCAGGGTTCCACAGAGGACAGAGTTTCCATTTGGGAAGATGAGAGGTGAATGGTGGTGACAGCCACATAGCAATGTGAATGCACTTACTGTCACTGCGCTGTGCACCTAATGGTTAAAACAGCAACTTTTAATTTGTGTGTATCTTACCAGTTGAAACATATGCACACACAGAACACTTGGCAAACCCTGAGTGACAACCAGCCAGGACAAGGGACCCGATTGCCACGCCCAGGGCTGCCCAGCAGGGACAACGTAAACCCAGGAAGATGACAGAAAAGAGCCTCAAAATAACAAAGACCCAAGAACAACAAAGGGAATGAACGGTCCTCAGACGGGCTAGAAATGGAACAACGGCACTCCTGAGCCGGTAACACCGGCAGCTGAGTGTCCTTTTAAGCAGAAATGCTATGTTCCAGGAATAAAATAAATTGGGAGATATTTTTATACTTAGAAAAATGGATTATAGCTCTTGGCAACATGCACACAGCAAGCAGGCATTTTTGGAGTCTCTCTGGAAAGCCATAATTTAAGCCAAGCCAGTGTCCTGGCATTCGGTCACCTGGTGTCCCGGGGCTGCTGGACAGAGGGCAGTGTCTCCCTGCAGAGAGGGCACTCAGGCCACCACGAGCCTTGCCCATCTGAAGGGTCCTGGGGGCTGCTTCCTGTGGGGAGTGAATACCCACAATGGTCCCCTTCCCTCCCCACCCTGCAGAACCAGCATCTTTGGAGCCTTGGAGAGCATCCTGTGGCCTGTGCATATCCACCCCTGCCCCGGGAGGGTTTTTACAGCAGCAAACAGAACACACAGCGGGGCTCAGGGCAGTGGGGCTGGACTGGGCCAAGGCAGCTCTGGGCTGTGGCAGCGTGGGGCGCAGTAATCACAGTAATCATCCTGATGCACACCCTAGAGCTCCGCCCTCGGCCAGTCTCCGTGTGTCCGTCCTGGTTCATCACTGGGCTCCTCCGATTCCTTCAGATGTGGCCTTCAGCACCAGCCTTGATGTTTACCCCACGCACAGTCAGCCTCCACATCACAGCAGCTCCTCCACAGCTCCTGTGCCAGCCCCACCCTGCCGCCAAGCCCCTGCCTACTGGAAAATCTGAAGAGATTGGCAGAGGTGCCTGGTGTTCACATGCAGCCGCGGCAGGCAGGAAGCTGGCAGTGCCCATTCACAGAGGGCCCTGTAGGTCACATCCTGGTGCCATTAGGGTCTGGATGGCCCAGACTTGGAGCTATCCAAGGAAGCAGCATCCACTCACAGTGCCCTTATGTCCTGGCTCTGCCGTGCAGGGTCCAGAGAGGACCTGGAAGCCACTTCTGCACCTGGGGCAGGCGGCGGGGTGGCGGGAGGCAGGATCTAAGAGACAACGTGTCGGGGAACTCCAGTTATGTGAAGGTGACCTCACTTTTTCCTTCACACAATTGCCTCCACATGTCCCTGGGCTTGGTTGGATGCCAGAGACAACACATCTCCACCCAGGAGCAGGGACGGGGAGCTGGCCAAAAGACCAACTTGCTCTTCAGTCCTCACCTTGTCCTATGGCACCCCGGCCTCGATGCTGATAGTCCCTTGCGGGTGGGAGGGATCCTGCCAGGATGAGCCTGCATTTGCTTAGTGACTTTTGTTTTGTAGGACTGGGGATGGAAGCCAGGGCCTCCTATATGCTAGGAAAACACTGACTACTGAAATACATCCTGAACCCCTTCTTTAAAATCTTATTTTAATGCAGAGTCTCCCTGACTTACCAAGGTTGGCCTCAAGCTTACAAGCCTCCTGCCTCAGCCTCCTGAGTGACTCTAGGAGTGAACCAAAATACTCATCTGTGTCTTGGGTTTGAGGAAACTTGGACCCTGCCCTGAAGGGGCCCCATCCACCTCACACTCAGTCTTCAAGGAAGTGCTAGGTGTGGTGCAGGGCAGGAGACAGCGTATGGCTCGGACAGTGCTTCGCACTTCACTGTCCACAGTGAGAGAAGGAAGAAGCGCGTGGGGGCGGGAGAGGATCTCAGCAAGGAGGCAGACTGCGCAGGTTGAAAGGCTAGGCACATCTGGGGACACCTGGGGCAGTGCCCTGCACCCTCGGCCCGTCCTGGGGATCTCCTGCAGCTGCCTGGCCCCAGAGACAGGGGCAGAGTGCTCGCAGGTTGTCATGGCCAGTGGGCCACTCATCACAAGCCCCTAAGACGTTATGTCCTCATCTTCCAGGGGTGCCCCTGGGGTGGAAAGGCCACTGGTGCAGGTGTGGGACCAGTCAGATGGGGCAGGAGGCAGTCAGGGAATTGATCAGAACAGCAGCACAGGGCAGCTGAGACCCATGGCGGCACCATGGGAGCGGCCTGCCCCTCTGACCTTTGGGACACAGTGAGCTGTGAACCTCTCTGAGTAACACAAGGCCAAGAAACAACCCTGGTAAAGCAGCCTAGCCCCAGTGAGCCCTCTGGGCTCTGTAAAAGCAGCCCTGGGCAGGGTCTGCCGTCCCCACACCTGCTTTTCTCGGACAAGCAAAGACTGAAAGAATCAGAATTCCCTGGGTCAGCCTGAACCCTACATTCTGCCCCAAGCTGAAGGCACCCTTAGGATGGAATTAGGAAATTCCTTCTACTTCAGGAGAGGAAAAGTGAAAGCCAAGATCAGGACCCACCAGGCGCTCCCAGGCTAGTGCGGGAGGGTCTGGTGTTCCGTCTCTGCCAGGGTCAGCATTTGTCAAAGCCCCACAGCAGAGGACCAGCCTGATGGATCTTAAAGAATACAAAAGAGTTTGCAAGGCAGAGCAGGAATAAGAGCAGAGAGCACAGGAAGGCCAAAGTTCTGAGGTGTGAGACACCACTTCCTAATTTCCTGTTGCTCTTCAATATGAACCTACAAAACCCACTCCCCTGCTTCCCAAGGGCCTGCAAGTACAAGAAACATTTGGGAGGAATGGAAGGGCAAAGAGTGATGGTCTCAGGGAGGAAGGCTCAGAATAGTATGGAATTAATGCATGGAAGAAAACTATAGATCAAGCTAAGAACAAGTCACCCCCACCTGTTGCCATCTCTGCCCGGAGCATCCCTTGCATTGGCAGCTGAGGGTGAGATCTGGGGACCTATGCTTTCCAGCCCTGCCCTCCCGGCATCAGGCCTGAGCTTGGGCAGGGACCATGTCCCATGCCAGGTGTGACAAGCCATCTCCTGAGCCGAGGACAAGGCCCCTGGGGCTGCACTCTCCTGTCCCGGGTTTAGACCTGAAGTGAAGGGTCAGCCAGTGACCATGGCCACAGCTGAGCCCGTTCAGACTCTCCTATCCTCCCTCTTCTTCACACTTGCCCCAAGAAGGGGCAGCCTTGGAGCCTTAGCTCCTGCCTCAGTTTCATTTTTTGGAAGGACAGGATCCCCCTACCGACACAAACGTTTGCCTTAGGCCAGTCCAAGGACCATGCAGTCAGATCCAGTGCAGGACAGCACAACAGGCCTTGTGACAAAGCAAAGCCTGGGGACGCAGCGTGTGCCCCACCTGGACTCCTCTTGAGTCACTTCCTGTGCCCCAGCTCCGGAAGTGGGGGGCCTGGAAGTTCCCAGAAAACTCAGAGTGGATGCACTGACAGGCTGCTGCGGAGGTAGGTGAGTAAATGCCCTTCCCAGAAATAACTGAGACTGGACAGAGGCAGAGGGACAAGGCCAAGTCCCAAAATAGCTCCCCAGCTTGGGGAGCGGATGTGGCATGGCCTGACGCCTAGAGGCCACTGATGGCAAGGTGACCTGGAGCAGATGGCAGCACCACCTGTGGGGGTGAGGAGGGTGTGGCTGAGCCATTCCCAGCCCAGAGGCAACCCAGGGCCGGCTTGGGAAGAGCAAAATCTGATCTGGGGCCTCAGGGACCCCAAAGGCCCAGCCGTGGAGACTCAGTCTCTGGAGACAGGCCTTAAGGAAAGGCCCAGGAAGCCTGGCATGGTGGTCCACACCTGTAATGAGGCTGAGGAAGGATTGCAAGTTCAAGCCCAGCCTGGGCAACTTAGTGACTTAATGAGACCCTATCTCAAAATAAAAAATAAAGGCAAAGGCCCTAGGTTCAATTCCTGGTACCTACAAAAAAAGGAAAAAAAAAAAAAAGCCCCCAGGAAAAACTGCAAAATCACCAACTAAAATAGGAAGGAAGATGCCACAGAGACGCTGATGGCATGGGTGCATCTGTAGACACCCAGGCTGAGGAAGTGACACTTTGGAGGATGTCAAAGGGTAAAGCAGGTGTTCACAGTGACCCTAGCCAGAGAAAGTGCCTGGCGAGGCCCTCTGACAGCACAGTGCAGGGTTCCAGGAGAGCCAAGGGCTGTCCTGTGGATCACACTGGGGGCCCAGCCGGAGGGCTTTGGCAAGAAAAGCCAGGTCCTCAGCTCCAGGAGGGCAGGACAGGCATCCAGAGAGGCGATGCCACCACTTTCAATCCAGAGGCCACTTCACAAAAGTATGGGCCTGCAGGCATGGTGGCACAACCTGTATTTCCAGTAATCTAGGAGGCTGAGGCAAGAGGATTGAAAGTTCAAACCCAGTGTGGACACCTCAACAACGTAGAGACCCTGTCTCAAAGTAAAAGAATAAATGAAAATAAAGGCCTGGGGATGTAGTTCAGTGAAGGCCCTGGGTTCAATCCTCAGTATTAAAAAAAGGAAAAAAAATGGGGGCCTCCACTGCTGGCCAGTGTGAGCAGGAAGACATTGGCCCTGAGGATCACAGTACAGCTTTGGCACTTGAGACAGGGTAGCATGGGGCACAGAGGACCCAGCTCCAGGCAGTACCTCTAGAGTCTACAGATGCACAGCTCCCTGGCCATTATAAGAAATGTCAATGTCCAGTGGAAAACTGGCACCATCACTTGGGTCAGCACCAAGTCAAACCCTCCCAAACTGTGGGAGACAAAGGCCCAGGCTGCAGCCGGCACCTGCCCAATGGCTCTCCCACCACCTGTGTGTTTGGTATTTTCTTACCAAAACCCTTTAAAAGAAATGTATTATTTTTCATTTAATAGGGTGGGGTGCAGCTTTGTAGTAGAGCAATTGTCTAGCATACTCAAAGCCCTGGGTTCTGCCCCCAGCATTTACTTATTTACTAAATAAGTAAACTTGAGGAATATGTCACTCCGAAAGAAGTGCTTTCCTACTAGGCTTACGGTGACCTGGTCTTTACACTGAATGAAGAAGGAGGAACTAATTTCCAAAAAACAGTAGTCTATACTCACATCCACTTCTCCTTGGTCAATTACGTAAAAATTATCTCCTTCATTCCCTGCAACAGAAGAAGACAGGAGACATGAGATAAAACTGCCTGTTTGAGCTGGGCACAGTGGCACACGCCTGTAATCCCAGCATTTGGGAAGCTGAGGCAGGAGGATCACTTGGAGTTTGAGGCCATCCTGGGCTACAAAGTGAGTTCAAGGCCACCCTGAACTGCAAAGTTAAACCCTACTTCAAAAAGACAAAAACAAAAACAAAAAAAAACCCTGCCTGTTGGACACAGGAGTTACAGTGTTTTGTTATGTTTTTCTTTCAAAGAATATCTGCAACACTGTCTACGGTATAGTCCTCTGCCAAGAAATTCTCCGGACCCTTGTATGTGTGTGTGTGTACACAAATAATCCTCATGCCTCAACCTCCTGAGTACTGGGATTACAAACATGTACCACCATGCCTGGAGACTCATTTTTTTTTAATGACAAGATTATGGAAGTATACTAGGTTAACTTCAGTTTTGTTTGTTTTCTTAAATTTGCTAGTGAATGTTCTGGAGAACTACACGGAACATCTTACACTAAAATCTCAAGCACACGAAGCACTTCCCCCAGGTTTGTGGCTCAGAGGCAGCAGAACGTACCTTGCTGTATGACTGTCTCCCCAGCAATGTGAGTGACAGGGAACATGGCATCAAATATGTCACTGAAAAATGAAGCACACCAGATTAGGTAGTCACAGGTAGCACCTGATAAAGTCAAACCCTGCTGCTCTGGACCCATAAGACCTCCTGCCATCCAAGTTGAAATCCATTCACAGAAATCAGCAAAAATGAGAAAATCTACATAAGAGAGGAACATTAAACCCCTTCCTAACTGTCTGTTCAGGTTCCCACTGTGAGCTCTATCTCTGCACAGACATGGTTTGCTGCTGGCTTTTTATGCAAACATTTCACATTAGACACACTGTTTTGGATTTTAGTTAGGAAAGAGTCATTAGAGAGTGTGAACATTTCTGCTGTCAGTAGATACAATTCTGCTAGAGACGGCCACCAAGCCTGATAAAGCGGTTTTTGCACTGATTTTTTTCTTTCAGAGAAAACATTTCTAGTCCAAGAACATCTTGGCTCTCAATGCAGAAATGAGTGGTGAGCTCAGTGCCTCTGCGGAGGATGTGGAGGCTCTAGAACACACAGACTTTACAAGCCACCAAGGCCAACCAGGCAGCATGGCCATGTAAGTTCCTAAATTCAGATGTAAAATAGGCCATGCAAACGATGTCCAGGGGAGCCAGGAGGAGCTGGAGCAGCCCTGAGCCCGTAGAGGTACTGGGGAAAGTGGAGAGCACCCCACCGCATCCCGTTTCATCGGGACTGTCACCAGAAGATGGACAGACACATTGGTGCTGCTCCACGAAAACCAGCGACCACCTTCGGAGACCAACCCTTAGTCCCTGGGTCCCCAAAACAGAAGCTGCGGAGCTGGGATGCAAAGGACAGGGTGCTGGAGGTCCAGGTAAGACGTGTATTGCTCAGTGAAGCCTCAGCGGCAGCCCCCCTGCCCTGCCTAGACAGAGACTTGGGGACCACAGGTCTGGTAAGTGGAAGCGAGCTTAAAAGCTCAAGGGGTTCCTTCACTGTGTAATGTGCAAGGCAAACACAAAATCAAAGATCCAGATGGCGCAGGCTCTAGAAAAATATAAGTAATTCTTAAAATAGTGGCTGTTTTCTCTCTATTCAAGAAATTCTTGAATTCTAGTCCCTGATGTGTCCTTTGTATCTTCTGTTTGATTATATACGTGCTTATATTTTCCATAGTCTTATAGTTAATTTATGTATGTATGTATTTTTAAAAAGCTGCAGTTGCTCACTGGGGAAATGCCACATCTTCCCTTTAGGGCAGGCTTGAGGTTCGTAACATTTTTGAAGCATCCAAAAAAGGCAAAATCTGGACTTGAAAATGTTACAACATGCTTATCTGAGTGTGGTACAGACTCCAAGCCTAGTACACAGAAGGATGCATCCAGGATGATAACCAACAACTTATTCGCAGCCAAACATACTTCCAAACTAGCCTAACATGCCAAATATACCTCCATAGATTACATATGCTAAGCCATACTGCCTCTCTTCAGAATTGCTGGAAGTGAGCATTTTGGCAAAGCATTTCGATCTGTAAGAGATAAATATGCTCTATTACCCATAGAAGAGGCCAGGCTCCCCCACAGGGCCCAGCCACAAGGCTCACAATGTGACCAAGTCCTGTCTCCTCATAGATGTCCACTTCCTTCTTCCCTGAAAGATGGGCTCCTGCCCACCCCACAACCACCAAGGCAGGTCCCACAGGGAGCACTGCCTGAGGATGTTCCCACAAGACTCCTCTGCACCTGCTCCAGCCTTCGCAGACCTTCCCTCAAACCCTCAGGCAGGTCCAGGATGCCAGGAGTGTAAGATCCCAAGGGAGGTAGCAAGAAGGTGGCAACTGAGCCAATGGAAACCAAGGACATGAGTCCACAGGCCAAGGAGCTGAGGTGTGAGGCTCTCGTTAGCCTGGGATGCAGCTGGGCACTTGGGGAGGGGTGCCACTCCTGATAACTGTACCCTCTGTGTCCAGTCAAGGCAGGAGGACATGGGCTCAGTGCTTGGAGACCCATAGAAAGAAAGCCGCAGGCTGCACTATGAAACCTCTCTCCACAGGCAGAACACCATCAATACACATCACAGCGAGTCCTTGTTCTTCATGGCCAGCTTAACACCAGGCAACATCACTGGTCAGACCCAGGAGGGTCTGTTGGCAAAGGCCTGGCCTCTGGAAGCAGCTCTCCGCCCAAACAGCAGCCACCAATCTAGGCCCACCTGACCCTCATGCCCACCACCTGAGATCCCTAATACCCTCTTGCTCAATTTCATGAAGCCCATCCGTATTCTCACCTTACAAAAAGGCAAACTGAGGTTTGAAAATCTCTGAGGGACAGATGAGCCCAGGCACCAGGCTCTGTGAGAGACCCCTCTCCCCATACCCTAGGACAAGATATCCAGACCATTGTGGATAGGAGCAAGAATACACTGGGTGAGAGCAGGAGGAGGCAGGGTCTGGCCTAGGGACCACACTGCAAACCACCCTCCTGCTCATGGGCCATTCAGCACCCAGTGAACCACATACTGTGTCCTCACTGTCCCAAACAGAGCTATAGACTTTGTACCTGGCCATGCCCATGTTTCATGGGGTGGCCCCTCCAGCAAACAGATAGCCCTCTGCTCACAATGCCCATTGACTATTCTTGTTTTACTTATACATTTATTCCTCCACCCCTTTTTGACTTTCCACAGGTGACTGCACTAGGATCTTTGTGATATCTCCTTTTGTTTGTATGTTTTCTCTTAAAATAAAATCTTGAACTATGGGCATGTTGGATTTGAAATTCCCCTGCCCGCCCCCCCCAAAAAAAACTCTCATGAGCCAAAAAGCCATGGTCACCAGCTGATAGGCTTTTGGGGAAGTAACTGGATGAGGAAGGCTCTAACTTCACCAACTGGATTAAATCCATGGATGAGATCAAAATGGCATTACTAGGAGGTGATGGGAACTTAGAAGATGGGGTCCGGTTGAAGGCAATGTAACCTGGGTACTACATCTGGTCCCAGCCCCTTCACTCAGGCTCTTGCTCTCCACTTCCTGGCTGAACAAGATGAACAGCTTCTGTCACATGCTTCTACCATGCTGTTTCAGCAAGTGATCTAGCCTACCATGGACTGAAATTTCTGAAATCATGAGCTTGAATAAACCTTCCTCCTTTCTTTTTCCTCAGGTGCAAGGTCAGGGGACACCTGGGTTGTGGCTGAGAGCCCTATTCTGTTTTCATCCCATGTCCCTCATCTCTGAGTTCTAGGCTTCTCTCCAAGGGCCTGTCTGCTGCTCCTCTTCTAGCAGTTTCCTGTTCTCATCCTTTGTCCATCTCGATAGCCAGCTGGTGTCATTTTTCTTGCTGAGTTACAGGAATTCCTTGTCAGTTTTATATTCTCCAAATATTTCCTGCCATTGGTCCCCTGGTCACATTGCCATGATGCCCTTAGCTAAGCAGACATCTTTCATTCAGGGCAGTGTCTTTCCTGCTCTAGGGCCCGTGCCCTATGGGTTCAGTAAGAACCTATTTCCCCACCACAAAGTCACCCAACACTACATTACTGTGTTAATCAGTCCAGGGCACTATGACCAAGCACTAGAAACCAGGCAGCCTAAACAACATTTATTTCTCATGGTCCTAGAGACCAGAAGAGCAAGGGGAAGGTCAGCAGATTTGGCCTTATGAGAGCCACTTCCTAGCTGGTGGTGATGGTCCCACCTGGTTGTGTCCATGGCAAAAGGAGCTTGGTCCTGACAGCCCCTTATAAGGGCACTAGCCCCATTATAGGGTTCCCCACACTCCCTCTTCCCTAAAGCCTCATCTCCAAATACTGTCACAGAGGCAGTCAGTGATTCAGAGTATGCAATTTGGGTATGAGGGGACACAATCCCGTCTACAGCAATCACCTTCTACTAAATATATCATGCTCATATCTACTTCTGGGTCCCCAGTCAATCCCACAGGGGCTCCAGTTTTGGTCCCCCAGGGAGTCAATGTCATCTTGAAGACCTACAAATTGCTCCTCACATGCCAGGCAGACCCAGAAGGGGATACAGGCTGACACATCCTCCAAAACTCCAGATGTTGGAGGTCCTAACCCCCAGGGCCTTACAGTATTTGGAAATAGGGTCATGCAGATGTAATTAGCTAAGATGAACTCACAGTAGAGGGGGGAGGTGATTATTCAATATGACCCATGTCCTTAAGAGGGGGACTTTGCACACAGATATACACAGGGAGAATACCACATGAAAAGACAGATGCACACAGAGACATAGAGAGACATGGGAGAAGATGCCACCTACAAGCCATGGAGAGAGGCTGGGGACAAATCCTCACAGTCCTAAGTGCATCATCCTGCTGACACTTGTCTTTGGACTCCAGTAAATTTCTATTAAGGCCACCAAGTTTGTGGTATTTTGTTACAGCAGCCTAGGAAACAGATATAGCATTCCACATGTAGTTGCTCATTTAATTCTCCCAATAATCTTGTGGTATTTACTATTCTCCTTTGCAGGTGAGAGGAGAACAGAGGCACAGAGAAACTAAGGAATGCGCTGAGGTCACACAGCTGGCAGGCAGGCCAGGAGACCTGCCTCCAGAACCCTCACTCTGACCATTACATGGAGCTACCTCTCATCTATTCAGTATTCAGCTCCCAGGTGTACCTGCGTCTATCTCCTTGGGTCCTGTTCCCTGCCATGGCCACTGTCCCTGCTTCTTCTCTGACTCTATCACTGCCATAACCTCCTGGTGCCTCTCAGACTGGCAGGGTGAGCCGCTCTTCTGTTTTAAGGAAGACCCAGCTATTTGTACTCTTCCCTTTCCATCCTAGAAGGCATTTATTGCCTCCCGTACCCCAGTTGCTGTGTGGCCCAGATGGCTACGCAGACTGGGAGAGTGCTGGCCGCACTGCACGGAGTCTCTCCATCCAAGAACACAGCCATCTCCCCTTTCACTCCCACCCTCCATGAAGGGTTCACACTTGTTCCTTCAAACCTGTTGTGATCTTTATTGAGTAAACTCTGCTTTTCAGTGGTTACTTCCTGGTGCCCCCACCTGGCTCACACTCTCACTCCACC